GGTTGACGACGCCGCACACGCTCTTCAGGTCCTTCTCCTTCGTGATCTGGGCGTCCTGCACCGCGCGATGCCACACCTCCTTCCAGACGCCACCTAACCTCTCGATCCTGCCGAGCTGCTCGTGCGCCTCCAGGGCCGCGTTCTGGATCTCCACGCCGTTCTCATGCATGTGGGCCAGGAACTCCTTAGCGAACTCCTTGCCGCGGTCCACGAAGATGGACTGAGGCAGTCCAGCCCAGCTAGTCCACACTGTCAGGAACGTGTCTAACGCGACCTTGGCAGAGGGTGCATGTGTACCGTCGCAGACTATGTTCAGGAAGGCGTGGGTGTTACCCTCGGCGTCGTGTGCGAACAGCGTGTCCAACATCACGTGGAAATTGAACTGGTAGCGACCCGGCATGCGAACCGGGCGCACGTGCTTCGTCCTGATCATGTCGCCACTGGCGTCACACCTGAAGTCCCACACGCAGTCCAGGAACTCCTTCTTGGCACCAGATCTCCTCAAGCACCTCACCAGAGTCACGTTGGTCGGGTGGCCGAAGTTGACGTGCAGGTTCCTGATGTCGCGCCTGACCGCGGGGTCGTCGGTGAGCCACCTCGCTCTGCGCTCCTGCTCCTCCTTGGAGAGCACTGGCTCGAGGCCTGCGGCTTGTTCAGCACGAACTCCGTCAGGATCCGTAGCAGGCCCGTCCTCAGGTGGATGCTCGGGTTCACGGAAGCCCTGACTCCCGTCCTCAGCTGGAGGACGCCTCGGGGGTTGCTTGCCACGCAACCTTCTCTTCTTGGCCTCAGGCTGGTTCTCGACTGGGAAACTGTCAAGTACACCGAGACCCTGGGACACGTGCGTGTCGACGTCGAGGTCGAACTGCTGCTCGATGGCGTGTAGTACCAGCCTGTCCAGCTTGTCGGGCCACTTCGCCGCCGCTCTCGTCTTCTTCTGGTTCTCCAACGGCAGGTGGTAGTGGTCCCTCGTGCACTTCTCGCTCTGCAAGGCCTCATAGACCGCCACGCTGGTGGTCAAGAACCTCATCGGCTTGTAGTGCGCGTCCTTGGTCTCCTCGTCGGCGTAACCGAGCTGGCGCCCGTGCGGGGTGCACTCCAGTAGCAGGCCTTCTTCACCAACTCCTGCGTCTTCGTCATCTCGGGCTCGAAGTAGGCACTCGACCCGAGGGGCTGCTCCATCAAGACGTGCATCCCGCGCCTCACCCGGTCGGCGACGATCTGGTCCGAGAGCATGAGTAGTGGCCTCGTAGCTTCCCGAGCTTCTTGAACAGTAGCAGCTGCAGCGCCGCCCTTGGACAAGTTGCATCGGCCCCACTCCCCCCACGGGCCGCAGGGCATGGTGATGACCGTCACGTAGGGGTCCTCCTCCAGCAGTTGCCTCCGTGCCGCTTGGCGTCACTTCCTGGTAGCGCCGTCCCAGACGTCCTCGATATCCAGTGGCTGGCCGCAGTTGTAGCCGAAGGTGGTGGAGGCGAGTAGGGTGAGGCCGAACTGGCCGCAGAAGAGCTGCTTCAGCAAGGTCTTGCCCCTAGGTAGCCTCCGCTTCCTGTCGATGCTGCCCGTCATGATGTCGAGCGTCCTGGACTCGATGGTGACAAGTCGTCATGCATGGCCTTCATCTTCTTAGCGCGCCTTGAGCTGGCCATCCTGATGGACTTGTCGCCGTCCCAGTCGATCTCGTTGGGGTTCTCGGAGACCGGCTCCGTCGCCATCGCCTCCGCGGTCGGGATCACGACCTCCGCCTCCGGGTACTCCGCCATGTCGAAGCCGCCGTCGAGCCCGTCCTCAGCGATGTAGGCCTGGAGCTCGGGGCCGAAGACCCCGGGATCTGGGAAGTCCAGCAAGCCGACGCCCAGGTGGCCGCCGCTGGTCTTGAATAGGGGCACGTTGTAGGCGCCGATCTCGGTGAAGTCGGCGACCGCGTTCGCCGCGTCGATCACCGCCCCTAGCTTCGACTGGGTGTCCTTGGAGATTAGCAGGGGGGCGTCCTGGCCGAGCTCGGCCGACTCGATCGCGAACGGGTTGTTGGCGATGCCAGCCGGCATGTTGTAGACCGTATCGCTGTGCGCGTCGCCGCCGACCCCGCGGAACTTGGTCTGCTGGGACCTGGGAATCGGCTTGAGCTTCCGGTCGAGTAGCTCCTTCTCGCACCTGACCCTCCAGGGCGTGCCGTGCATGGTCATCTGGCAGGCTGTGTCAAGCACGGCGGTGCCAGGCGGGTCCTTGAAGCTGGAGCCGTAGACCTCGACGTCGTCCCTGGAGCCGTTGACCATCAGCACCTGGAACGACCCGACCTCATGCTGAGAGGGGGTCCCACTCGCCCAGCGCCATCAGGTAGATGAGGAACCAAGCCAAGCGGTACTGGTCGACGGTGAGCCGAGTCAAGTCGCTGGACATCGCGTGCCTGATGAGAGCGTTGCCGTACGCGCGCGCAGCGGCACCGCCGTCCACGAACTCGGAGAACGTGTAGCCCCTGTACTTGCCGTCCATGATCCTCTCACCGCCGAGTGGTACCTGCTCGGTATCGAGGCCCTTGACGTCCTGGTCGAAGTCCGCAGGGTACGCCACGTACACGTTGTCCTCCGCCTCAGGCCTGTCAAGCTCGTGCGGGTAGTCCTCGGCCCTCGGGGCGCGATCAAGCTCCTCGTCGTCAGACGGAACCTTCACCTCCACCGCGCGCTTGGTCATCAGCTCTGGCGCCAGCTCCTTGGACTTGGGGATGCTCTGGGACACCTTGAAGACTCTCTCGGCTGGCATCGTCTTCGCAGGGGCCGTGCGCGGGTAGATGGCCCTGCCCTTCGGGGTGAACAGTAGGGAGGCCATGAGGTACTTCCAGAGTTCCTCTCCGCTAGACCTGTGGGCCTTGGCCACGTGGATGCCGAGCCGGTTGGGCATGCACTTGTGGCAAGTGAGGTACCTGTGCGTCCCGTTCGCGCCCTTGAACAGTCTGGGGTCCGCCGCCAGCGCGTGCTCGCAGGGCTCCGCCATGACTGGAAGTGACTGGCCTCGCCTCCTCGGAAGTCCTGCAGCTCCGTCTCCGTCGTCCGCGCTGGTCTTGAGGGTCTCGTCACCTCCCTTGCCTCCTTGTGGGCTGCCGCGTGACCTTGCCTTAGGCTTAGGGCGGGCGCCGAGCCCGGTAGGTGAAGGCGAGGCCGCCGACGCCACGAACACCTCCGCGATCCTGACCTCGCTGGTCTTGGAGCCGTCGCCCTTGAAGTCGCTGAAGCTGAAGTAGCTGTTCTTCGGCCTGTCCGATGGTGGTGCCGCCGATCTCGATGACTTCGGGCAGCCTGGGTCCCCGTGCCAGTGTCCGATCTGCCCGCAGCTGGCGCACCTCGTAGTCCGCTTCAGCTTCTCGATCCTCGCGCGCCGCTCACCGCTGTCACCGGGGGCGCTTCCACCTCTGGCTCAATCCCTCGAGCTCGAACTGCCTTCGCCGCGACCTCCGCCCTTGCGTCCTCGACCTCCCTTCCCGCGACCGCCGCCGCGCGCCTGGAACCTCTGCTTGTTCTGGGCGATCGCTGCGAAGCTCTCCGCCGCCTCCGGGTCCATCTCATCGATCTCCTCGAGAGTGGCCTCCTCCTCGCCCAGGTAGACCTCTTCTTCCAGGGGCTGGCCGTCGTAAGAGTTGTCGAGCTGGTGGTCGTTGTCGTCGTAGTGCTCGTGCTCGTCGTCGCGCTCGGCCTGCCACGCCTGCCGCTGCCTGTACTGGCCCTGCTGGAACCTCTGCGGCTTCGGGTCCGAGCGGTGCGCCTCCTGCTTGCCATCCTTCCGGTAGTGCCGCTCCCTCTCGTGGATGCCCGAATGCTGCATTTGCAGCGCCTTGGCGAACGCCTCCTTGTCGTACTTGTTGCCCGCGCTGCTGATGATGCTGGCGTGGTCCGACTTGTCGAGCCCGCTGAACTTCAGCAGCAGGTAGGCCTGGAGGTCGTCCGAGATGCTGGTCTCCTGCGAGACCTTCTTGAGGTCGTCGAACGCCTTGGTCCGTCGCGTGATGTACTCCTGCATGCTCTCGCCAGGGCCTCTCCACACGGACTTGTCGTAGAGCGCGCCGTCGAAGAGCTCCGCCGCGCGAACAGGTCTCTCCTTCAGGACCGACTCGCCGAGCACGCGCAGCAGCATCTCCAGGCCCTCGGTAGTCGCCTTCTTGCGAGTGACCGTGCCGCCGCCCTTGCCGCCGCTCTCGAGGGTCTCCTCCTCGTACGTGAGCAAGTCGTCGTGCTTCAGCGACCTCACGGCGTCGTGCGCCGTGCCGGAGAGACCGTTCCTCAAGTTGATCGGCGTCGCGATCTGCTTCTCGTCGCCCATGCGACCGTAGAAGGCGTTCTTGGCCCGCTCCTGGTATTCTTCGAACAGCGCTGGATCGCCGTCGTGGAGCGGGATGTCCTTCTCGAAGGTGAGGCGCGAAGCTCGCGCCATGATGCATCTTGGAGTTGCAGTGGTGCTGCTCGTGGTGCTGCTGGTAGCCAGAGCAGCCGCGATCAAGCTCGCGATGATGGCGTGCGCGATGCCGACGCGCCGCCGGTGCCAGACTCCGCCCATGTAGTCCAGCTTGTGCGGGTCCGCCACAACCCGCGCCGTGGTGCCGAGCCCGCTCCCTGCAGGCCAGGCCAGCAGCCCCAGCCACGGGGCGCGCCAAGCAGTCCCCCGCGAGCCGCGGAGGCGGGAGCAGACCGCGGCGAACCGGTCCGCTCGCTTACCATCAACTGACGGCCGCCGCCGTCACAAGAAAGCTGAAAGTCTTTTCTGCCCGAAACTCAAGAGCTCTGAAACCGAAGCGGTTGCGGTCGAATCGGCGTCGGCGAGAGAGGGGCATCTCGGGGGGCCAGGGAGACAGTGTCGATTTCAACATCCTCCTCCTCCTCCTCCTCCTCCTCCTCCTCCTCCCCTCGTCTGCCGAGCAGGCCACCCTCTCGCCCCACCCCCTGCGGCCGCATATTCCTCGCCGCTCCCCGGGCCGCGCGCGGGGCACGCGCGGGGGCGGGCGGGCGGTCCGCCTGGGCGGCGGCGCGGCTGGCAGTGGGAGGAGCCACGGGCCCCCCGCGGCGGCGGGGGGGGCCGCTTCCTTCTCCTCGCTGAGCGGCACGGGCGCGGGGGAGGTGAAGGCTGGAAGTCGGATGGAGGAGGAGGAGAAGGAGGAGGAGGAGGAGGAGGAAGAAAAGGAGGAGGAGGAGGAGGAGGAGGAAATAGAGGAGGAGGAGGAGGAGGAGGAGAGGGAGGAGGAGGAGGAGAGGAGAGGAGGAGGAGGAGGAGGAGGGAGGGGAGGTAGAGGAGGTGTATGAAGAGGATGAACGGAGAAGCAGGAGGAAACGAAAAGGAGGAGGAGGAACTGGATGACAATGAGGGCGATGATATGACTCCTGCTGCTGGCTGCGGCTCGGTGCTTCTGCTGAGATGAGGAGGAGGAAGGAAGAGGAGGAGAGGAGGAGGAGGAGGAGGGGGAGGAGGAGGAGGAGGAGGTGGAGGAGGAGGAGGTGGAGGCGGGAAGAGAGCGAGCGAACGAGCGAGGGAGCGAGGTGGGAGGAGGGAGCGAGCGAGCCTCCAGTCTGTATGTTGGCGACTGGCAGACTCCAAGGAATACATGGAGTGGGGCGCACCGTGGGTGAGCAGCATGTGGCGGACGGAGGGGGGCTGCGGGCCTGCTCTATGTGCGGCGAGGCACATAGGTGGAGGTCGACTGAGCCCCCTAAAATGGGGCTGGCGCTTGGGGCTTCCTCGAGCTTATGGGCCACACTCACAAATCTTCTGCAGCAGCTGCACGGGTGGAAGGCGACTGCTTTTTTTCAAGACCGGTCCTGTGCGCATCCTTGGCAGCAGCAGGGGGGCCGGACAGCTGCTTTGCGCAACACGGACCACGCTGGAATGGCAGGCACACGTGGCGCTCGTCGCCCAGGAGGGCGCTGCCCTTCCGCGCGAGAGGCCTGCCACAGCGGGGGCTGGGCCTCGGGTCCTTGTGATCGCGAGGGTGTGTTGTAGCATCGCTGGTGCATAAGGGGCTTGCACTGGTCCTGCTCCTTCTCGTCGTCCCCCCTTCCTCCTTGTCCTCTTTGCCTCGCCCTCCTCCTCCCTGCCCTCTGCGTATGACACGCGGGGGCCTCCAGGGGCCTCTTGGGGGCCTCCATCAAACCATCCTCTGCCTCTTCTTCGGGGCCTCTTCTTGGCTTTCCTCGTCGTCGTCCTCCTCCTCCTCCTCCTCCTCCTCCTCCTCCCCCTCCTCCTCCTCCTCCTCCTCCTCCTTCCCCTCCTCCCCCTCCTCCTTCATCCCTTTTCCTCGTGAAAACTCTTCCCTGTCGCACGCCCCAGCCGTGTCGGAGGACGGGCCCAACGTCTCGCCCGAGACCCGTCTCACCGCTTCCGATCCTGCAGCTTGAGAACTATGACAGCTTCAAGGGTGGAGGCCTCCTCCTCCTCCTCCTCCTTCCTCCTCCTACTCCTCATCCTCCCCCCTCCCCCCCTCCTCCTCCTCCTCCTTCATCTCCTCCTCCTCCTCCTCCTCAACTATGACAGCACGTCTTCAAGGTGCGGCTCTCGCTCCAGCGCCGCGCACACTCGCTTTGAAAACCTTGCAGCAGCTTCGCGGATGGAGGGCGCCCCGTTCTCAAACTGTGGCTCTCGCCATGGCGCCGCGGACATTGGTCGTAAAGGTCTGTGGCAATATCACGGATGGAGGGCTGCTCCTTTTCAACATGTGATTCTCGCCTCATCGCCGCGCGCATTCGTCGGAACAGTTCGCAACGATGTCAAGGATTCGTATGGTTGGTGTGCTGGTGATTCGCGGTGTTGAAGTCGCACGAACGACGTCGTGGTGCAATTCAGGATTGTCAGGACTGCTGGCTTCCAACGTGGCACTTCCCAAAATGGAGATAAATTCTTGCAGGTGCCTAAACAGAAACTTTGACGGAGGGCTTGCGGCAACACCGTTAATGCATCTTCTTAGGTTTACACTGGTCCTCCTGCTCCCCCTTCTGGTCCAAAACATTTCCTAACACCTCATCTCCTCCTCAACGCTCGAAGCTGCGGACGGTTCTGGGTCAAGCCCTGGCGCCATCGGTGCCCCTCCAAACCGGTGTTGCCAGGGGCGAGTAATGCGGGATGACGACTAATACAAAAATGGGGGAGAACGATTGAACAAATAGTTTTCTGCTATTTCTGCACCCCGCTGCTGTTGACCCCGCTCCTTTCTCCTTGACCCCTTCCCTCCTAACCCTCCGCTTCGGCTCCGTCTGGCCCGTCGGCCGCCCGGGCGCGCGCCCGAGAGCGGCGGGTGGGGAACGATTCAAAAAATAGTTTTCCAGCCCGCGGCCGGTTTTTCCCTACCTAGGCTCTGCCTAGAAGGGTTTTTACTCTCTAGCTTAAAAGGGCCGTGCAGTGGAAAGCGCCCCGGGCGGTTCCCCCAGTCCCCGCCCCGCGGTTCCCCCAGTCCCCTGGGAGCTTTAGCTTTAGCTTTAGCTTTAGCTTAGCTTTAGCTTAGCTTTAGCTTAACTTCAGCTTAGCTTTAGCTTAGCTTTAGCTTAGCTTTATCTTAGCTATAGTTTAGCGTTGGCTTAGCTTTAGCTTAGCTTCAGCTTAGCGTTAGCTTAGCTGTAGCTTAGCTTTAGCTTAGCTTCAGCTTAGTTGTAGCTTAGCTTTACCTTAGCTTTTAGCTTAGCTTTACTGTTACTACTAATGCTGCTTTCCTAGGGGCTCCAACTCCTAGGTAGGGTCGCACTGGGATAATTTCTAATCATCATCCCGGGCGCCGCCGCGTGAACACGACGCCAGGTCATTGATTCATCGTCATCCTCCAGTACGCGTGGCGATGAAGTGCCTGGCGGGGGGGGGGAGGGGCGCAGGGTGAGACTGCAGTCCAGAATTCTCGGATCGGCGGAACCAAGAGTACCACGGGCAACCAAAGCAGGAGGAGGAGGAGGAGGAGGAGGAGGAGGAGGAGGTGGGGGTGGAGGTGGAGGTGGAGATGGAGGTGGAGGAGGAGGAGGAGGAGGAGGAGGTGGAGGTGGAGATGGAGGTGGAGGAGGAGGAGGAGGAGGAGCAGGAGGAGGAGGAGGAGGAGGAGGAGGAGGAGGAGGATACTTCCGGCGAGGAACCGAACTGTCCGCCGGGCCCAGCGTCTCGACGGAGCCGGGGCGGAGCCTGGCTCTGCAAACCCTCCTCTTCTCCTCCCCAAGGCGTCTGCGAACATCATCCTGCCATCCACTCCTTTGGCGGATCCATTCGGCCCCATGAAGCCATCTCCCACATACTTAATGTCTGCTGTGGACTTAAGTGATTTAATTTCCCAAGTCGGAACCATATTTCGAGATACATGGAAGCACAAAACCATTTCCAACATTAATAAGGAACAGGATATCACGATATAAAACATGCATTGATAATAATACCTCCTCCTCCTCTTCGTCGTCGATGTCGTCTTCGTTCTTGTCGAAGGCTACAGCGGCGATGACGACTCATGAGAGCAACGTCGGCCCCTGGATGTCCGGAGACCTTCCGGAGACAAAGTTTCCATGCCGAGAAAATCTTTGCCAGCCCATGCCTCGTGAAGGCCCACGGGCGCTGAAAACGACGTTGAGCGCCTCCTGGAACGGTTTACACCCCTCGAAGGTTCGAGCCCTCCTTTTTTCCCCACATCCAAAGTGGGGTTCTTGTTTTCTCTGCACACCCCCCGCGCAGGATCTCACACCCTCTCTCTCTCTCTCTTCCTCTTTCCCGCCATCATCATCATCAGTCATCATCATCATGACCCACGCCTCTCCTCCTCAGCACCATCACACTTACCCATACACCACTCGATCGCTCACTCACTCACTCACTCACTCACTCATCATGATCATCACATGAGGATATCATCCGTTGGCGTCACACATCACTCAGTCAGTCCGTCACTCACTCGAGTATCAAGCGAGAGCGTCGTCTGTGAGTGAATTGCGAGGAAGTCTCAGGCGGGAGCCTCTCCCTATGGGGCCCGCAGATCATCTTACTAATCCGAGGCGGGTCATCGGGATCCTGTAACTGTCCTCACTTTTGGGCTCCTGGGGCGTGAATTTGGAGGAAGTATCAGGCGGGAGCGTCGTCTGTGAGTGAATTGCGAGGAAGTCTCAGGCGGGAGCCTCTTCCCTATGGGGCCCGCAGATCATCTTACTAATCCGAGGCGGGTCATCGGGATCCTGTAACTGTCGTCACTTTTGGGCTCCTGGGGCGTGAATCTGGAGGAAGTATCTAGCGGGAGCCTCGTCTGTGAGTGAATTGCGAGGAAGTCTCAGGCGGGAGCCTCTCCCTATGGGGCCCGCAGATCATCTTAATAATCCGAGGCGGGTCATCGGGATCCTGTAACTGTCGTGACTTTTGGGCTCCCGGGGCGTGAATTTGGAGGAAGTATCAGGCGGGAGCGTCGTCTGTGAGTGAATTGCGAGAAAGTCTCAGGCGGGAGCCTCTCCCTATGGGGCCCGCAGATCATCTTACTAATCCGAGGCGGGTCATTGGGATCCTGTAACTGTCGTCACTTTTGGGCTCCTGGGGCGTGAATTTGGAGGAAGTATCAGGCGGGAGCGTTGTCTGTGAGTGAATTGCGAGGAAGTCTCAGGCGGGAGCCTCTCTCTATGGGGCCCGCATATCATCTTACCAATCCGAGGCGGGTCATCGGGATCCTGTAACTGTCGTCACTTTTGGGCTCCTGGGGCGTGAATTTGGAGGAAGTATCAGGCGGGAGCCTCGTCTGTGAGTGAATTGCGAGGAAGTCTCAGGCGGGGGTCTCCTCCCTATGGGGCCCCCGGATCATGTTACTAATCCGAGGCGGGCCATCGGAATCTTGTATCTGTCGTCATTTTTGGGCTCTTGAGGCCTGAATATGGGAGAAGGATCAGGCGGGAGCATCGTCTGTGAGTGACTTGCGAGGAAGTCTCAGGCGGAAGCCCCCTCCCTATGGGGCCCGCAGATCATCTTACTAATCCGAGCGGGTCATCGGAAACCTGTAACTGTCGTCGCTTTTGGGCTCCTGAGGCCTGAATATGGGA